GTTTCCAGCTTGAACTTAATTTTTGGAATTGAAAAGGTGGAATCGATCGACACCCGTAGTCGACACACCATCAGTGTATGGGTGTGGTCGGCACGCCATCAGTGTATGGGTCGGGCCGGCACATCATCAGTGTACGGATGGAGTCGGCACACCATCATTGTATGGGTGGGGTCGGCACACCATCAGTGTATGGGTGGGGTCGGCACGTCATCAGCGTACGGACAGGGTCGATACGCCATCAGTGCACGGACAGAGTCAGCACACCATCATTGTACGGGTGGGGTCGGCACACCATCAGTGTACGCGTAGGGTCGGCGCGCCATCAGTGTACGGGTGGGGCCGGCACACCATCAGTGTACGGGTGGGGTCGGCACGCCATCAGTGTACGGACGAGGTCGGCACACCATCAGTGTAGGGATGGCGTCGGCACGCCATCGGTGTACGAACAGAGCCGGCACGCCACCGCTGACCGCCGCCTTCCTGTTCCGTGCCGGCAGAGATCTAGGCGAGTACATCCGCGTTTGCGTCGCCGACGCCTTCCGGCATGAGGAGCGCAGCTCGGTCGATGAAAAGGCCTGCAGGCAGCAGCTGGAGAGCCTATCGAGGATCGCCAACAACCACCACCTCCACAGCGCCCGGCGGAGCGGCACAGGTAACGACGCCGTGGCGAGGTCGAGCTGAGACCGGCAACCGTGCTGGATCCGCAGCGGCACCGCGGCAGGCAGCCAGTCAATGACGGGCGAGATGCCTGGCCGCGTGCCCTCCCGAGTTTTATCTGATGTGTGACGATTGCACCAAATTTCGTTTTCCGTTGTAAATGGGGTGAGGGTGTAGCATTTCGGCAATTAGTGTGGTCATACCAGATTGCGCAATTTTCATCCTTTGAAAATTATGATCCTGATCAGATAGCGTTCAGTTGTCTCAAAATGTTGCAACAATATTGTTTTCTTCAAAATTGTGCTACCTTTTTCCTGAAGGATATTCACATGGGGCTCTGGCCATTAGTATGTGAGGACCAAGAACACATCAGAAGCGTCGTGTCTGCCCCGGGGCGCTCAATGCAAAATCGGTTTCGGTTGAACCAGCATTCACTTGGATTACAGCCTCGCTCGTAGTTCTTTGTGCGTATGAGGCATACGCGAAGCTCGTACGCAGTGGCGTGAGATTGACGGCGCCTGTGTCGAAGGAAGTTTTCTGTAAGGCGCGAGTTTGCGGGACAATTTCCGTGAAATTGATGCGCCCATGGTTCGATACATATGCGGCGGATCGCAGCCATCAAGGCTATCGAATTACCGGCGGCTGCACTCGACACACTCGTGCGCTGGCGTCATTTGTTAGACCGCTGTCCAATCAGGTTTTCTAGCGGGCAGGGAGCGTTGCGACTGACACGTCATGAGCCTCGTGGCTGATGTCCTGCGCGTGTCGTCACCAGTCGCAGCTGCTGGACGCAAGGTTTCTTTGTCAGCCTCCGGCTAACGTAGTGGCATGCAGATCAGTGCGAACTGGGGCTGCTGGCACGAACACCAAGCAGCGGCTTTTCGCGAGAGACGACCTTGTTTTCAACTGTTAGTTATGAACGCCTGCAACGGTCAAAGATGTGCTTGGATTCCAAAAATTAATCCGGAATCTTTAAGGATGTCGGTTAAGTTTAGCATGCGTTCGGGCGGGAGTCAAATTGACGCCCCGAAGGTTTTTCCAGAATGATTTCCAAAGGGCGCGGCGCAACCGCGCCAAATTTTGCATAGCTGTAGACAATTAAATAGCGGATCGTTTAGCATCAAAAATTTAGATGTACCTTGTAAGATCGCTGGCCTATGGCAGGTGAAAGTCAGGCCATGGTTTCAGAGAAGTCAATTTCTAGGGAATCGTTTAATCTGATGCAACACCGGCGTCTTAGACGAAGCTATACATCTCTGAAATGCTTTCTTAGTCAACACAAAAATTGAATGAGCAAATTACGTTGACCTAAGGTCAGGTACAAAGGTCAGACGAAGGTCAAAACCAACCTGCTTTATTACTCTATGGCTCGCTGTATGGACTGGTTTCTGGTGCTCATTTCGAATTTATTGATTGCAGGAACCGCATTATACATCTTCCATGGACTTCTTAGAGGTCAGAATAGGCCATTGACCTGAAATGACCCAGGTCAGCATTTTGTATTACCATACTGCCTGGCATAATCTTTTTCGCTTATTCAAGCAAAACCCAGCGGAGTCTTGTATAATTTTGGTCACCATGACCTTCAAAGGATCAAACAAGGTCACTGACCTTAACTGAGCATGTGACCTTTTGCTTGAAACAGCTATCTAGGTTATGGGGGTACTTTGGAGGTCAACCTGGTATGTGACCGTGTTTGACCTTATTTGACGCGAAGGTCATTACTAGGAACCCAAAACTTTGACCGAGGTGAGTTCACGTACAGGTCAGCACACCCTGTAAATTTGGTGTCTCTACCTCTTAGCTCCGAGATCTCAGGTGTGTCAAATTGACCCCCCACCCGAGCGAAGGGTATCTAGCCGGCCACCCGGGCGCGTGTTAAGGGCGTGCCCTGAATCACGGGATCGCTCGACAAACTAAAAGAGGTGATCGGCACTTAAGGACGTTGGCACCAAAAATAAGAACTGAGCGGAGATCTCAGTAATTTTTGACATCATTACCAAAAACAAAAAAATATCCTGAATCCCAAAAGACCCATGGGAAGATGCTTTCAAGATCTTGGATCCCAGAAGTTCGTGCGAAAAATTGTGAAAGTGACTCGCATACGATATTGCTCAAAGCACAGAAGAATCAAAGCACAGAAGAATGGGTTCAGCATTTAAAGAAAATACGAGTGTTGGAAGATTGTCAAGACTTCAATTGCTGGTGAGCCACTGGCCTGACTTGGGTTTTTCAAACCTGTACGTATCACGCAGCATTCAGAAAAGATATTTCGAAAGCGCAAAACTTTGTGGAGTTCGTTCTCAAACGATGAGAACCTCCATGAACGAGGATGTAGCTGCTAGGGAGATCTCTTAATGACGAGGTTTTGGTACCCAATCGGCACGCATGCCTTTTTTAACTTGCACGTGTGGTGATTGAAATATTTGAATGTCACGTATTTCGTGGTACCTGCTGCTCATCACAGAACATATGAAGGTAGCATGAAGTACAATAATCCCAAATAAGCCAGCATGTCGTAACCAAATTCATGACTTGGCACAACAGTCCTGTCTCCGTTACCCCATGTTTTTCACTAACGCGTAGAAACGGCAAGAAAGTGACGGCAAGAGTAGAGCATTCCGAAAAACTCACGGCGCCTCTGCGTTTCCGGCTCCTTACCGCACACGTGCGGGTCGTGTTGGCCTGAGCAGTGTGGAGGGAGCACTAGACACCAGTCTCGGACGGTTCCGGCACTCCAGTCCGGCAGCTCTGTGGCGCGGTGCTGGTGGGACCGTGGCCCACCACCCTGGCCAACCGCTGGACGAGCACCAGACGCCAGTCTCGGACGGTTCCAGCGCTTCCAGTCCGTCAGCTCTGTGGCGCGTGCTGGTGGGACCAGTGGCCACCACCCTGGCCAAACCGCTGGACGAGCACCAGACGCCAGCCTCGGACGATTCCAGCGCTCCAGTCCGTCAGCTTTGTGGCGCGTGCTGGTGTGACCGTGGCCACCACCCTGGCCAAACCGCTGGACGAGCACCAGACGCAGCAGTCTCGGACGGCCGCAGCGCTCCAGTCCGGGCAGCTCTGTGACGTGTAACCGGTGGGGCCCGCGGCCAACACCTTGTCCAGCCACTGGACCAAGCAGCAGGCTGCCAGCCGAGGTCGAGCGCCAGCGTGAGTGCAGAAACGACCCGTCAGCCCACATCCTACTTCTAGAATGCGATGAGATGGCCGAGTTCCGCCTCCTTCCCCTCAAACGCTCTGCCCCACGCGAGGCGCGCCTGATGGGGAAGCCTGGATGCAAAGGTGGGGTCCAGGCTGGCGCCGTAGCATTTACCAGTACGCTGAGGGACTCGAGGCTCGTCACATATGAAGAAGCCAGGCATCAGCGAGGGCCTGGAGATGACTGACATCGACGGGAGTTAGGTCAAGAAGGGCCGGGACATGCGAGAAGATGGCGAGGCTGGCACAGCCAAACGGCGTCGTCAACAGACCACAGGTTACATTGTAAATTAGCTTGTTAGAGACAAACCTGCAACGCGTTTCATTGCTTTACTGCGCACAAGTTACCTCAAATAGTCCAATGCGTTTATTTATAGGGGTTGTAATTTGCACTGACACTCAAAGCAGCAGCGGTGCTTCAGCTTGGTGACTTGGCACTGGCCGCCCGGGCTCTGACCGGAAACAATGGGACACTCGAATGCTTCGTCTTCAAACTGCTCTATCTGTAAAGGTGACTGGGCAGTCTCAAACCTAAGTATGCTCTTGCCAAATAGTAGCAGTCAGGGTTTTAAAGTTCATGACTGTGGTGTTTTCATCGTAAAATAGCTTTCTCGCGTTCAGAAGACTTGGTCAGCAATACTTTGCCGCGGCTCATGCTCATCTACAGTTTCCATTGGACGGATTCCCTGACTGTCACTCTCGTGGGAGGTCTCACTCGCTTCTCGCTGGGTTCGGCAACAAAGCAATGGCATGAAAACCGCTCACTCAAATCCAAATGTGTGAAACTGAAACCACTTGGACATACTTTCCAGTTCACAAAAACGTGCCCACTCCAAGCATCGTCTCCTTCATTGGACGACGCGTCTCCCCGTCTCCCGATCGCCAGGTGCATCTCCCTCATCGGACGTCCAAAGTCGCAAAAAGACGCCCCCTCGCGATGATTTCACACGGACCACTAAAGCACTGCCCTGCGCGCACTAGAACATGGCGAAATCCCTACTGCAGATGTCACTCGCTCTGCCCTCGTTGGTTGGTAAGCCGCTTTGGTAATCCTCCCTCTCCCCACGGAACTAAAGCAAAGTTGACGGACTTATTCAGTGGCGTTGGGGTTCTTACGATGCGGAATTCTTCGAAGATGTGTGTTTGTCACATTGATCGGTCGCGTTCCTGGTGTCCCTCAATCCCGACGCCAGATCCAGACATTAGGGATTGAATGCAGGGCCTGAACCTCAGCAGTGGGTGTAATACCCCAGACGAACGGCATTAAGCCTCGACCTTCGACCCACTGCAGCATTGGCAGCAGTGTATTATGATGACAACGTCCTTCCGGCAACTGTGTGAGAATTAACTCACTAAAAATGTCTATCAGCATCCACATTTGGCGCAAAATGACCTCCCGGCGTCGACTCGCCCTTAAATTGCAATCCGTGTTTGACCCTTATGTATACGGATCGCTGGCTATCAAAAGGCATTACATATACCGATTTCAGCTCGATAAGTCTACTCCACTACTGCAAGCGCATATGTCAAGTGCCTTTACACCCCTGGTATTCCCCGATGGACAATGAGCCTTTACGGTAATGGAAACATGCCTGTCTGCGATGTGCGTTATGTGAAACACGCTCTAAGATGAAGTATGAAGATGCTCCAAGCAATCCAGACCTTTTATATTCACGCTTACTTGTCAAGCTCCTTAGAAGTTGTGAATCATTAGGGAGGATTTCTTGGTCTCACATCTTTCAAAATTGTTGCCGCTTTCAATCGGGTTGTTTAAAATGCCTGCTTTGAGCG